AGTGATTCATCGTTTGTTAATTTGAACTAATACTACAGGTGTGGACCGAGATTGGGGGGTAGAAGACGGTACAATTTAATGGCAGCAGTTGTCATCGCCGAGATTCAATCGGTTCGAGAGGGAATAATGATGAGAGGACGGGTTGAATGATCAGTTTACTCGTAAAGGAAAAAAAATTTTAATATTTTCGAGCATATGCGATGTATATATAAGTTCAGCAAATATTTAGCATCGTTTTATTGCATTTTCATATTGGCGCGAAACTTATATATTCATTGCGTAACGATTTGGTAGCATCGTGGCGTTTTATATGTTTATGTATTTGTGTTCTATCGTTAATCTGAACGAGCAAACTGACTCACAGCACCTGAAGGTTTTCTCCATTTTGAATACCGAAGTTTCTACAAGGTTGCGATTGAATAACGGTTCCACTGATCAGCTTTAGTTTTATTAACCTTGCACATCTATGTGTGTATGTACGTGTGTGTATTCGTTTGCGCTCGTGCGTGTTCGCGCGTGCGTGTGTGTGTGTTGTTTTCAATATAATTAAACAGTGGATTAATCTAGACAATATTTTGTTGACTGTTACAGACACAACGGTTACAACTTCTCCATCCGAGGATGAAGAAGATAACGTAGAGTTTTATGATGCTCAAGAATCAGACACGTTTACTCTAAGTATTCCAGGTGTTGCCACTAGCAATTCCAGAGACAGAACTGATTCCCAGGGCAGTGATGATGGCTCTAGTTCAGAAGGAGATCAAACACCATTGCCGTTGTCAGAAAATAATGGTGCAAACTCCTTTCTTATTGTGACCGCTTCTACAATAGTACAAACTCCCACAGCTGCTGAAGAAAACACAGACAATCTGGACAATGTAAGTAGACTGTTGGCTGTATACTGAATAATAAGACTTAACGTATATAAATGGATGAGATGAATGAACGAATGATCAATGTTTTTTTATAGATTCTAATCTTAAGTAACAGATTTTATGCATTTTGAATTCATTATGATAATAAACATTTATTGTTTTACATCAGACAAATTGGCAAACCAACAATGGCAGCAGTGGCAGCACCGGGGTAACAGGTTCTAAAAGGAAACGAAGGACTAGAGTACCTGAAAAGCCAAATTATCCTTTAAACTTATGGAGTATTATGAAAAATTGTATCGGCAAAGATTTATCAAAAATTCCAATGCCTGTCAACTTCTCTGAGCCACTTAGTATGCTTCAACGACTCACAGAAGATTATGAATATGCAGATATTCTTGACAGGTACATTTATGGTAGCTTTAATGTACTCAAATAAATTATTTTCTTACGAAGAGCACAAATTACATCTGTTTCAATGTATAATAGGGCAGCAGAATGTACAGATAGCTACGAGCAAATGGCTTATGTGGCTGCATTTACTATATCCAGCTATTCCACAACCGCTACCAGAACTGGGAAACCCTTTAATCCTTTATTAGGTGAAACATATGAATGCGATCGAGTCGACGATTTAGGCTGGAGAGCAATTTCAGAGCAGGTATCTCATCATCCTCCTATGTTAGCACAGCATTGCGAAGGTCGAAAATGGCGTTGCTGGCAAGAATTTACCATGGCATCAAAGTTCCGTGGAAAATATCTTCAGGTAAGTTCTATGGTATTCGGAATTCAGTTGGTAAAACGTACATGGTACAATTCATCTGTGCATCAATGTAGGTAATACCGTTGGGAACTGCTCACCTCGAAATGGAAGGGGGTATGCAACATTACACGTGGCGAAAAGTCACAACAACTGTACACAACATTATAGTAGGAAAATTGTGGGTTGATCAAAGCGGTGATACAGATATTATCAATCATAAAGAAGGTATAAAGTGCCATTTGAAGTACACGCCGTATTCGTACTTCTCACGGGATAGTCAACGTAAAGTGAAGGGAGTAGTTATGAATTCAAATAATGAAGTGAAATGGGTAGTGCAAGGCACGTGGGATTCAAAAATAGAAATTGCACCTGTGATTAGTACATCCGGTACACCAGATAATCCAGTGTATAAAACAGGGCCTTACATACTTGCCTGGAAACGGCGTATGCCACCGTAAGCACTTGATAAAGTAATGCTTTCCACCGTGTATTTCACTAACTTAATCGATAACAATTAATGTTATAGCGATGACAGTGACAAGTACTATAATTTTACGGAATTAGCGTGTCAACTGAACGAGCTTGAGGATGGCATAGCCCCTACAGATTCTCGATTTAGGCCAGATCAAAGGTTAATGGAAAATGGCCAATGGGACGAAGCGAATGCAGAGAAACTTCGATTAGAGGAAAAACAAAGGGCCGTCCGACGAGCTCGTGAACATGACGCTGAGAAGGCGGCTGCTCAAGGTAGTCAGTATTTTTCTTTATAATATGTACCATATGAATTCGTTGAGAAACGAACAGTATTAAATATTTGATTTACATCAGGTTTACCGTACGAAGCTTATGCACCACTGTGGTTCAAAAAAGAGCAGGACCCGTATACAGACAGTCTATGCTATGTATACGGCGGAGAATATTGGGAATGTAAAAGTAAAGGTGACTGGTCACGGTGTCCAAATATATTTTAGCTTGTTATATAATTATATCAATTAATAATGATGTGACCGCCAATATACAGTATGGAAATGTTTGGATTTGTTTCAAGTGAAAATAGTCGATATTAGAAATCATTTTCGTGAAGACTATTGCTTTCGAGAAACGCTGACACGATAATGGGGTTGTTAGAGAACATGGTGTAGTCGTTATTTCTTCCAATGAACTGGACGAATGTCAGCTTTCTGACGCGTTGCGACGAGTGTTTTGTAGAGTACCATTGCCCTCCTTTCCCCGTTGTTCTTACACATCCTTTTATCTATAATTACCACTGCATTCCTCTCATTACACCCACTTTTCTAAACAACCGAGACATTAATGCATTGAATCCGTATGGCCCAGTTACTGCTTTTGCATACGACTTTTGTATAGACACTAAAAATTTTCTGTATTTGCCATTAGATTTTGCCATTAGGCTGAACACGTACACACATATAACAATACATTCACAAAACGATGATCCAGATACTATCGATAAGCGGATAAGTTGCAAAAGAGTTTGTTACTTTGGTTTGAAACAGATAGCAATAAGATTAATGATTTTTAACGATGAAAGCATCGGCGTGTGGTGGAGTGGTAGCCACAATTAACTGGGAGTTCGAATCAAACACGAAAATACACTTAATGCTAAGTGTGGTGTTCGTGATTTGTTCCAAACGAAGATAGATATAATCTATTTT